TGCGTGCCGCAATCGCGGCACAGTCACGACTCTCTTGTGTTCCAAATGGCGGCGATAAACCAATATTGGTTCACAGACCGCCTTCGAATATCCGCTAACATTTCTCTTGTGCTCCATTGTGGACTATTTTCTATTTGTGTAGGAGGTGTTTGTGTTTTTTCACACGTTGCCCATTTAATTGACATCTTGGAAAAAAAAAGGTTTGACGAGGAAACTAATTTAATTAAGTAACCTCAAATACAATGCGATTTCAGTGTATTTCATATTTTTAATTTAGAATAGTAACGTTACTTTTATTTCATATTCTTGTTTTTTGAATTGCTGTTACGCCATAGTGCATCCAGTTATGTTGTATTTACTGAATAAACAAATAAATAAACCCACAATATAATGAGATACGTCTCCGCATCCCTACCCCTTTTTCGTTAATTTAAATTTAACAGATTAGAATTTTGGTTAAAAGCTAACATCTAGTAAGAACACGTGTGCACGTGACTTTGGCCATTTATTTACGGACTATTATGTTAGTAAGGTAAATAATAGGGGTTAAAGTATGAAATTGCCGATTTGTACTGAAAATCTAAATTGTTTATTTTTTAAATTTTTAACAAATTTATTTAATCAAAATAGTTGCCATTATTATCTATACATTGCTGCCATCTAATGGGAAGGTTATTAATGCCTTTGCGATAGAACTCCGACGATCTAGACTGCACAAACTGTGTGAAAGCATTTTGTACTGCCTCCTGGGAAGAAAACTTCTTGTCACGTAGATAATTGTCCAAATCACGAAAAAAATGGTAGTCCGTTGGAGCAAGGTCTGGTGAATACGGAGAATGACGAATGGTTTCTAACTGCAGTTCCTGAAGGGTCAAAATGGTTTCTCGTGCTGTGTGAGGTCTCGCGTTGTCGTGGAGCAATAATGGTGAAGATCGATTCATGAGTCGGGGCTGTTTTACTGCTAGTTTTGTCAACATGGTTCGGAGTTCGGCACAATAGACATCTGCCGTTATTGCTTGACCAGATCGGGGAAAACTATAGTGAATAACACCATGCTGAGACCACCAAACAGTTACCATTACCTTTTTATTGGTAAGGTTTGCTTTAGGACACTGTTGTGGCATTTGACCTGGGGTCAGCCATTGCATTTTTCTTTTACGGTTATCATAAAGAATCCACTTTTCATCACATGTTACAATTCGATCCAATATTCCTTCATTTCTGTACCGGTTCAACAAGGCAACACAAGTTTCAACACGCGTTTCTTTCTGCAGAGCAGTCAAATCATGAGGCACCCATTTTTCGTATTTTTTTATTTTATTGATTTGACGCAAGTGAGTCAATATTGTGGGTAAGGTAACGTTAAACCATGCCGCTAATTCCTGGGTAGTTTGACTAGGATCGGCTTCCACTATCTCTCTTAATTCATCGTTATTCACCTGTGTGGGCGGTCTTCCTCGTGGCTCGTTCTTTAAGTCGAAATTTCCATCACGAAAGCGTTTAAACCAAAATCGCACGGTGCGTTCATTAGTAGACCCCTCTCCAAACGCAGCATTGATATTGCGGGCTGTTTCTGCCGCGTTAGTTCCGCGTCGGAACTCGTATTCAAAAATCACTCGAATTTTCGCAGTATCGATCTTTCTTGTCTAAATTGAATAACAAAAACAATTGAAAGTCGATATTCAAATGTTTCAAATTTAAAAAAAAAAAAAAATCACAGGAACCATTTGAAAAAAGTTTCATTCGAAAACCTCAAACCATGAAGATTCTATGAAAATTCAAAGAACCTATTGCAATAAAACGGCAATTTCATACTTTAACCCCTAATAATATAATATACTTCTTTCATTAGGATGAAATGACATAACTGATTACTTATTTAACTGCCCTATTAAGTTTCAATAGCAGTAGAGCCTTACGAAATAATTGGACCGGGAAAAAACTGCTACCTATTTCTGCCGCCAAGTAGTAATGTTCACACTACTGTGCTCCGGTTTTGATAGGTGAGGGTGCTGGTAAAATTACAGGCACATGGGACTAGTCAACTTGTGTTTCAAGGTGTCGAGCGTAGTGGCAGCGACCCTCAAATCTTTGCCATTTAAAACTCTGAATTGCACTGCAACTGTTATGGACAAGCGTGTCACTTACCACCAGGCGCATGGCTTGTTCGTCTCGTCACATGGTATCATAAAAAAGTTGAAAGTTTACGATGGACAGGTGTTGTTAAAAACATCTTTTTATATTTATCTACTTAAAACAGGTAAATGCTATTAATAGTAATATAATATTATTATAATATAAATTATTTATTCAGATAGCTAGGATCCATTGGTTAATATTACAAACATCTTAACAGATATTGTTAGCAGTAGTTGTAAAAAATGTAAAACAAATGTACTTAAATTAAATACTCTATAAAATTATGTAACTATTCAATGACTATATACTTGTGTACATAGTATTTAAATTACATAGAGTATTCATATATATAATTAAAATAAAAAGATTTTTTTTGTAATATTAAGTGACGGATCGAACAAGCCGTGCGCCTGGTGGTAAGCGACTCGCCAGTCAATAACAGTTGCAGTACCACCCAGGACTTTAAATCACAAAGATCTGAGGGGCACTGCCACTCCGCCCGACATCCTGAGATATAAGTTGACAAGCCCCATGTGCCTGTAATTTCACCAGCACCCCTTACCCTTCGAAACCGGAACGCAGTAATGCTCAAGTTGATGCTTGCCGGCAGAAATAGGTAAGGTAAGAGTACTTCCCTGGATAAACTCTTTCACAAGGAACTCTACTGCTACTAAAAAAATGATACTGCCTTCTGCACGTCTTGCTCGCACAGGTAATAGTCCCGCATAACCAAGAGGTTAATAGGGAGGGTCACTATAAGTATAAACAAAACTTATGTAGAAATATGGGACTGTAATTTTGTAACAAATTAAAAATGAATTCGTATAATACTTTTAACATACACAAATCGTCAATAATGAATGTGTCCCTTATAGTTATTATTTAACCCGTCAAGTGTGCTAGAGACACACGGTATCCTTAACGATTTAGATACTGTAGTCAAGTGCTTATAGCGCGCAAGCTGTATTTTCATATCCCGTTTTCAATTTATTAAAAAAAATATATATAATATGTAAAATTTACCAAAATCGCGTGACGGCTTAATAATTTGTATGCAAAAACACATTTACATTGGACGGTATATAAATGACTCCCAAATAAAATCGGTCTACAAATATGGCAAGGGCGTCCGCGTTGATGTCTATTATATGGGGCAACGCGGAAATGCACCGCTAGGTGTGGTTTACACAGTGTACGGATAGCTATGTGCGCTTTACACTGATGTAATAATTCGTTCGAATAAGCAAAATGAACGTGGTGTTGCAATAGTTTATCACTAAACATGGGAAATAATTAATTGGGTATTTTTTTAACTAAATAAATAAATATTAGACAACATCACTTACGTTGCTTTGATCCCAAAGTAAATAACTAAAGCACTTGTGCTATGGAAATCCGAAACAACAACGGAACTACAAACACCCAGATCTGAAACAATATACCTATGAAAGCTTGTTTTTCTACATTGCCCCGACCGGGGGATTGAACCCGGGACCTGAGAGATGGCGACACCGTGAAAACTGATATGCAAGCCATTCATCATAGTCTAATTTAATCAGGCTATATTTCGTTTTCCACGCAGTAATTAATTGTTTTAGGAAATAAAATTATAGGAATTAGAAATTATTATTGATAGGAATTTTATATAACGAAGTTTAGGATATTGACAAAATTACCCTGTGAACATAGTGTTATGTAGCTCTTGAGTTTTGCAAGACCTAAGACAAATTTAGGACGTCGTTTGAGTTTTGCGAGATCTTTTCAAGGAATTTGAAGTGGCAGCAAAATTACGAAAGCTCTTAAAATTATGCTAAATTCATGTTTCAACGACATTCATATATATCACTTAGAAAAGTTTCCATAGTGTCTCGGTGTTTTAAAAAAAACATCGTCGCCAACTATAATCACCGTCATTACAACAAATTGCACGTCGTTCTCATTACTCTCCTCGCTTATTAAGCCGTCTCGTAGTATAACCGTTGTGGTTTGCTTAAAAATAATAATCATTAATACAAATGAACTCAAATGAGTGGCATCAAATTGATTATTATAAATCGTTTAGCGTCTTTAACCATTTGCCCGTGTGTTTGTGTTTTGTTTCTTATATGGAGTAGGTATTTAGTTAAACAAGCAGTCGAAGTATCCAGCATTGTTTTGTAGTCATTTATCAAGTTTATAGCTGTATTGAATTTGTATTGAATTGAATCTCTCAGGCGCAGTCTCGAGGCACAATCGAATTGTAGAGTTGTTATTGGGATTGTGTTTTTTCAATGGACCTATAAAAATAGATGTAATTGGTGGAGAGAAAAAAACGAGGATTGGATAGAGCGAGGCTCTCCGGTTGGCTTCGCGCGTCCGCCGACCGAAGATGTTAATAGCCACACAGAAGCTACACGCGCTTTTTTATGTTCTTTCGATGACTACGCGTAAATACACACGTCACACACCATCGCGCCATACAATGCACTTAGATTGAATCCACTTTCAATTTAAAAAGGATGACTTTTGATTCAATGTAATAGATTTATTCAAAGAAAGTTTGAAGACCAATATATTATGCTTCTTTATGTTCTTTAATATTTCAATTCAAACAAATAATGCAATTCACGTGTAGGCAATTACACAATATTATGTACCCTCTGCACTCACTTATTGAACTTTTGTACGTCTTTTAAATTAAACACTTTTTAAATTAAATCGTAACAAAATGTGGTCAAGGCTTTTATCACCTTTTGCGATTTTATATCTGACGTAAAGCAGGGTAAAAGCTCGGACTCTGGGAAACGCGCTTGAGGGCGAGGCTGCAGTGCGGGGGCGCGGGGGCGAAGGCGCAACCTGCGCGCGCGCCGCAGCCTGCGCCGCCCGCCGCGCGCTCAGTCATTGTCCGACCAATACCCTGGTCGTACATGCGAACCGACCGGCCTTGTCGCTACTTCGATAGTCGTACGAGTACCCGTTAATCTGAACGGTCCGCTCTGAACCCTGGAGTGTAGGTGCAGTGTGAAGTGATGGTGTGTTTTTAGCCATACAAAAACGAGTGTATCGCTACAAAGTATCACTGTCTACTGTGCGGTGCTAGTTCCACTAGTTATCTAACGGCTGTTCGCCTGCCGGCGAGGGAAGGCGGATCGCTTCTACCGGGAGGAATGAGCCCCGCACACCACCGGTCCCGCACTCACCGATGATCTCAAGGTTGGCTCTCGCTCGAATTTTTGCCTTACATACTACGCGGTGTTACTTGGAGTCGCGATCGTGTCGCAACTTCGCACGGCACGACCCCGCGGCCGCTCTCTCATTCTCCTCTACTACACTCTAATCTGATCTAATTTCAATAACATTTGAACCGGGCCTGCTTCTAACAATACATTTTCAACAAATATCTCAAACGAGTCGGAAAATTTCTATTAGGAATCTTATTAGAATTAATGTAAACAAACTTATTATGTATTAACTAAGGCCAGTTTTTACAGAGTAAATGCACACATTCACTGAAAGAACTATTTCCTTTAATCGAACAAACTTTTAATCTTAAATAAGCCTTCAGATTTAAAAAAAATTTAACTAGGGAATAATCTATAACTGATAAAACCGACAGCAATTTTAGCTACACTTAACACCTGCTTTGTACTTTAATGCATCATATTGTATAAGATTAACATAGCAAAAGAAGATTAATTAACTGAACATTCTGTCGATCGTGATAAGCAACAATTGCCGGCATTCAGCCCATTAGTTATTTAAGCAATTAACTATCAAACAATCAGAATTCAACGAACCAAATGTAACGGTAAAGTCATAGATCGTTGATAATGATAACATATCGTGAATGAATCTATTTGCACCTCACGGGTAGAGTAACCAATAAATTCTTAAAGGTAGTCTTACATAAGAAGTGTCCAAGAGCCCATTTTGTCGTTGTTTGTAATTGTATTACAAAACGATGTGGTCAGTTTCACTAGGTGGCGCCTCACGTCCAGTTGCGCAAAACACGCGTGCATATGCCCAAAGCGGGATAAGCTGATTTTCCTTACTCGGATCCGGTAGTTGCATATGTGATGCAATCACAGCAATCGTACCGCAAATACGGTCAAACGCTCATCGTGATTGAGCACCAATCACAAGCGTAAGCGCATTTTAATCTCATTACCGGTTCATGCTTGTGTTGTTAATTCGCAACTTTCTCGAGCCGTCGTTTAAGGTGCATCTCATGTTCGTTGCTTGATCTTCTAACTTTCTCCTTCTGTAAACTTTTTGATTGATGAAGGAACGGTGTTGAAACTTTATATTGTTTAAAGTATATTTAACACCCATGGAGCAATTTACTTTTAAAATACCAATAAAGACATGAATAAAGTGCACATATACATATTAAAGTTATTTTGTAGATTAATTTAAATGATTACGATATCCAATAAAGCTACAAAACTAGTTTGAACTCATAACTTTCCAAAATCTCGCTCGTGATCTAAACCTAAGTTATGACATAATATGGAACTAGAACGGCTACATAACACCGCATCGGGCTGGTCGATGCGTAGGTCGTAATAAAATGTTTAATTACAAAATGAGTTACTGTAGGCTGTCGTACAGAATAGTCGCCTACCTTGGACGTGGCAGTACAATAGACATACAAACATATCAATGTAAGAGACCAGTATTTTGTTAAGACAAATCACAACGATGTTAAGGTCAAAACTATACAAAATAAGGACATTTCCAATAAGATTTATGACTCATTGTTATCTGATAATAAAATACATAATATTTCCGAGTCGACTTACTATCTCATGAAAACGACCGTTAAGAGGTTCTATGAGAGCTAACAGAACCTCTTTCTCACATACTTGTTTGTAACAGAATTTGTTCATTAAACGGAATTATATTTGATGAACGGAATTTATAAGATAATAGCGAAAAGATCAGTAAAGATTAGAAAAAACCACTTAGGGGACTGTTAATTTATCAAACACCGGCAAATAAGTATTCAAAGTATAGATATCTCATATCATTCACTGTAAGTCACAAAAAGACATAAATAATAAGAAATCTAAAAAGAAAATAAAAAAGCGAAGGGTGAATAATCTACGTAGTACTAGCTCATTTGTATAGTTAAGTATCGTATTTCCTTTGTGAGATAACATACATTCCTAAGAGTATAATACTCATTAATATGGTGCACATACGAGTAGATTCTATAGCGCTACAAGGTGTGGTAAACTGTAGCAAACAGATGTTTGATAAGGAAAAACCATTGATTTCCGAACAAAACCATAATCAAGAAATGTTCATAAAGATTTTAAAAAATTAAGAAGGAGAATTTTAACATATTTTTAGCACGTAATTTACTTTTATTATTATAAAACGTCAATAGAATAAAGTTTTATCTAGCTTGACTGTGGTCGTAATTCTCAATTACATTTACATCATATAAATGTTATTTTACTTGGAAAACTCAGCAGTAATATGCAAATGAAAAAAGTCTTTATAAGGTTGTGCTACATTTTAGTAGCTAAAACCTACACGTTTTACTAAACAGTTGACGATGACTTTAAGGTAAGTGTACTTATACAATTAACTTTAGGCCGTAAAATCACGACAGCTTGGCTCGTTGACGTGGTTACTAACCTTGGTTACAATTTACCATAAATGAATATTCACTTATGGACCATAGTAACCATGATCTCTTTTCGAGTTCCGTAGTCATCATATTTTAGTTTGTTGTTTGAACTGCGTTTTCACATCTAGGTTTCACAGACATTCGTTTAAGGAGAAATGTATATTAGAAGCCGTGGTAGCCTAATGGCTGACCTACCGCCTTTCAAGTACAGGCCTTGAGTTCGAATCCGGGCTGAGTTTTCCAGAATTTATGTGCGAAATTTAATTTGAAATTTACCATGAGCTTTTCGGAAGCAAGGAAAACGCGCAGGTTTCATCACGATTGTTGACACCTCTACGTCGAAGGAGGTTCAGAACCCTCGGAAAGTTGTGAAGATTCCAACCCGCATTGGGCCAGGGTGGTGGACTATGGCCTCGCATAAGTGGGTTGATGTTGATAATGATAACGTATACGCTTCTATAACAATATATTCCGGTTGATATTCAAAATTTGCCATTTACGAAATTTAAATCTCGTAAAGTCATTTACGAGATTTAAATTTTGACTTAATGAACATAGTGAAACAAAGCATTACTGTTTCCGTAGCCGAACGAGTTCGTCCAGGGAAGTACTGCCACCTTACCTATTTCTGCCGCCAAGCAGTAATGTTAGCATTACTTTGTCCCGGTTTTGAAGGGTAAAGGTGCTGGTGAAATTACAAGCACATGGGACTTGTCAACTTATGTCCCAGGGTGATGGGCGTAGTGGCAATGCCCCACAGATCTTTGCGATTTGAAGCTCTGAATGGCACTTCAACTGTTATGGACAGGCGTGTAGCTTATCATTAGGCGCAGGACTTGTTCGTCCCGTCTCTTTATACAAATAACAAGGAACGGTTGCCTTGCTGGTCTGACACGCAAAGGCTCAGGTTCGAGTCCCGGGCCGGACGAAATATTTGTATGGCCTACATTTATTTCTCGCATGAATTTGGGTGTAATTTGTGTGTGTCTATTGTATGCGTGTGTCCATGGTATCCGCGATACAATGTTTACTAGTGCAGGGCTATGAGTGTGTGCATTATTTATTTATTTATTTACACTAAAGGTGTTTATGCTGCTTTCGCGTACTTGGATCACAAAAATCCATGGTAACGAATCGTGTAGCTCTTGCGGAATGTCTTGAGCTTATATAGATTACTAATAAATATTGTAAATGATAAAGATATGCAAATGTTTATTTGCATAGTATAACCCCTAGAGTTTGTTATTCATTTTTCTCATGGGAATCTGCCTGAGTAGTAAAGTTTAGTCAATGTGACGATTTCAAATGTTTTTTTTGTAACAAATAATAGACAAACGCTTGGCCACAATTTTACCTGATGTTAAGCAACGATGTGACCGACGATGGTACACGTGTGCCTGAAAAATGCTTATTCACTCTAGCCTTGAATAGCTCAAATTGTACTTTTCGGGAAACAGATTAGATTTGATAGAGTATTCCATTCCTTTGCCGTACGCATCAGAAAGGAGGAAGCAAAGCGCTTAGTGCGATTTGCTTGAAGTGTAATTTGCTTCTATGAAATGAAGATTATTTAAGTTTGAGTATGAGTATTGAATACAATCTTATTATGGAAAAGTAAAAATATTCCTGTATATATTCATGATTTCGATCACATTATAAATTTTTGTATCTCAGTGGTGTAAGACATAAATAAATAAATATAATATTAAACATTTCGGTACTCAAGTAAGGGCCCACTAATAAATTTACCATTGTATTAATTACTCTACTTTTACAAGACTGATATAAAATTTAAATAAAATTTAGTAACTAATTATTATTTAAAACGTTGAAACTTCACTCATAAAGTAGTATGATTATGTAGTTCATATTGTATTCACAATTTTATTGGACGATTCGCTTAGTCTCTTAACAAAAGACCAATCTCTTGTGTCCCATCACTTGGGATTATAAAAAAATACAGACATACAAAATAACCTACACGTCATAATATATACAGATTATCCAGATACAGATATTAAATAATTTGTATATTATTATAATTTCATAGAATAATGGTTCTAATGAATGCTATTACTACTTTGTTTATGAAGAAAGGTCTACGGAGCTCTTCCATGGATACCCAATAAAAATTCTTCTAATCGGATTTTTCTGTTGTCCATTGTGTCACTTCATTCCAAACTAACATGATGAATATAATATTGGTATTCCCCATTTGAGTTGCTGTAGGAACAAAATGTGAATGAAAAGTATTCTGTAGAGACCACTTTATTGTTCGATCGAAATTTCCATTTCAACGTGTCATTTCGATTTATAATGGCAGTAGTAGCAGCATTGGGAACAAACTGTGACGAGAAAACTTCGTGTTTCACATACTAAAAGTAAATTATATTTTTTAAGTTTATTGTATATCACGATATATGACCACCATAGTATTCAGTTATATTTGTGAAATTACTGCACTAGTTTGTAATAATTATTAATATGATCGCGCAATAAGAAAAGACTGAAAAAAATTCGGCTGGATTCGAACCAACGTCTTCCAGTAAGCGTGTCAGACGCTATGCCAAATACG